GACTTGCCAATAATTATGGCATTCACTTTGACTCCATAGAATTATATCAGGAGTTATGTGAGCAGAGAAAATTGACTAAAATGAATTGATTTAGTTTGAGTTCTTCGTAATATTTCATTAAATGCTATAATGTAGTTATAAGTTACTATTTTTTTAGATTAGATTGAGCTCTTTGTTATATCTTTTTCATTTTAATTATTCATTTATGTATTCAACATTGTTAATATTTTCAATAATTGGGTGTTATACCTGTTGAGAATAAAGAACTTATTATTATTTTCATTTACATGTTAAGTGGTTTCTGGTGACGAGTACTTCTTTTTCATTAAATTTTTCCATGAAATTCTTTGAAAATTGTGTCTTTGTCAAATTATAAACAAACTATTACATTTCGAGATACATGTTAGAATTAACCTGTATGTTGCCGTTCAGCTGTGAACGTAATTGAGTTTCAAATACTTCGTTTTATTCAAATACTAATCCGATTGCAACAAGAGTATATATTCAGCATGAAATAAAAAACACTTCAGTTCACATTATTTTTGTGTTCACATTGAATAGCATAAGACCTGACTTCAAATTAACTATAGCAATATATTTCCAGTTGAGGAGTGAATAGTTTGTTCTTACGCTCCTCCTCAAAATTTTGCTCGATTAATTCGCCACTTCTTCTCAGATAGATATTCGCTTACTAAGGCCTGGCCTGAGACGGTATAATACATTTTATGTCGATTAGAGCAGATCAAATGTTATGTCACGTTATCCTATGAACTTCATGTGTAATCTTCGCGATGGGTGTTGAGGTCGATGTGACATCTATTTTGATCAGCTAACAGTGATTTTGATGCCACTCAGATCAGCACAATGGGGTGTCGTAATATTTTCATTAACTTTTGGTGACTACATGTCTGAGTATAGATGATTAAAATAAGAGTAGAATGATGAGAAAAGATAATGATTTATTCTTAGTTTGTTCATTTGGTTATTATATATTGCATTTTTATCAAATTCAATTTTCCTTTCATTTTATTTATTCACTAATATCAGTTCTTTTTCGTTAAATTTTTCTTTCTTTATTATTATTTGCTTTTCACTCGGTTAATCAATAAATTCAGTAATTTGTTATTATGTCCCTTGGGAATAAATGTATTTTCATTGTTAATATATCGATTATATTAAGCCCAAATACCCACTATCTTCAATTGAAACAATTTTAAAGATGAAGTCTCTGATTTCTTATGGAAAATTTATTGAATTTCCGACCGAACTGATGTAATTAAACATACATTCAAGTTTTTTTTAGAAGTGAACAAATGTCATATTAATGTCCTCTAGTAACAATACTTCACATAGGTCCTACACATCAGCCTACTACAGGTACTTCGGCAAATATAAGATTTGAATTTTTTGTCGAAAATAATATGGCTCAAAAAAAGTGTTGAGTTGAACAAATAAAATATTTGTTGAAAAAGCGTGCAAAGGCAGTTTCCAATTGTATGAAACTAAATAAAAACCTATTATTTTTGTGATTGTTGAACAGTGAAGAATGGTAAGATGATACTTTCCACTGAATAACATGCGAAATGAATTTTCACAGGTAGATTGAATATGCGATCTGGTAATTTTCCGAGTTTCGAGAATTCAGCGCGGAGTGCATTTTCATGATTTTCATTTGCAGAAACGAAAATTGGATATTTCCCTATAGTAGGAGCTGAACGAGATTCTATTTCGATATTGGAAATTGAACAACGAAATAAAACAACCGTATATTAATCATTTCCAGTACAATTGTGTTTCAGTTACACCTAAAAACCACTCAGAGTCAGAGTCGAATCATTCGATGAATACAAATTTGTGAATAATTGCAAGAATTCATTAGGGAAATTGACTGCTAACTGAGGCAGAAACATTGAACGTACCATTGCAATAAGAATCAAGGTAGACTTTTTTGTGTTTCGATAATACTTACATTATTAGAAAGATTCCACGAATGTAATCCTCCATGTCGTCCGCTAAATTGAAAATGCAGATTCCTACACCTTCCAGTTGTGGTTCATATTTCTGAAAAAGTGTGAAAAAGATTTATATATATATATTATATATATATATATATATATATATATATATATATATATATATATATATATATATATATATATATATATATATATATATATATATATATATATATATATATATATATATATATATATATATATATATATATATATATATATATATATATATATATATATATATATATATATAGTTCAAAGATTCACAGGTCATTCAATACTAGTAAATACTGAGGTTCTCGATCAAAGTATCGAAATATTTCAAATGAAACTCTCAGGTAGCTGTCTACACAAATGTTGTCAACGAGAACGAACCCATCACTTTCGAGAGTGAATATTGAAAGCGTTTCGGAAAATTTATCGATCTTGTTGAATGATAATAGGATACAATTGTTTCATCATTATTATGAATCATCAGTCCATATTTAATCTATCAATCAAGAATCGATGACTTTCAAAACGAACATAGGACCTATACCAAATTGAGAGATATTCTACAGAGTGAAATATTCACGGAGGCTCCCTCTATCGGCGAAAGGACGTATAAACGACGGAAGGCATTGTAGATATTTCATTCGGACACAACAGAAAATTGTCTGAAATGTGTACAAATAATCCCATGCCTAATTGCTCCAGATCACACCCAGGCGGGCAAAAGTGTAGCTAGTTCGAAGATTCACAGGTCATTCAATACTAGTAAATATTGAGACTCTCAATCGAAATATCGAAATATTTCAAATGAAACTCTCAGAGAGCTGTCTACACGAATTTCGAATGAAATATCTACAAAGGCTTCCACTCGCGCTCTTGTTGTCATGAGTAGGAATCCTGAACGCTAAGGAGAGTTTATACGTAGAGGGAGCCTACGTGAATATTTCACTCTGGAGAATATTTCTCAATTTGGTATAGGTCCTATGTTCGATTTGAAAGTCATCGATTCTTGATTGATAGATTAAATATGGACTGATGATTCATAATAATGATGAAAATATTGTATCCTATTATCATTCAACAAGATATATATATATATATATATATATATATATATATATATATATATATATATATATATATATATACATATATTTCAAAATTGATATATTACCTGTTTGAGATACTTATATTTATATTTTCAGCAATAACAGGCTGTTTTCAGTGTAAATAACTTCATTTTTGTTATTTAATAATGTTGGCGTTTACTTGATGTAAATCCATTATAACTGAATATAAACTTACTTTCAAACACTTGAACTTATCATTTACACTTTATTGACTACATAGCATTACGCGTTTCGTCGTTACAAACTATTTCTTCAGATGCTAGCTAACACAATAATGGTTTAGAATTAATGATGCTAACAGAATAATTATTTATTTGTGTTGACGTTTCGTTGTATATTACAATTTACTCAAAACTAATGAATAATTGAATTTTATGAATTACCATAGATATCGAAATGTCGAACTTATTTTTAAAAAATCAAAGTAGTTTTTTTGTATTTTCACATATTGATTCTTAGTTAAAATTTTATACTTTAAGGGTTGATTAACTACTCCAGCTATATATATATATATATATATATATATATATATATATATATATATATATATATATATATAGCTGGAGTAGTTAATCAACCCTTACAGTATAATGAGAGATGATTCTCATTATAATCTGTACAATGCAGTCCTAATTACGATCAGATTATATCGAATTAATAGTCTTATAGTCCGTGGTAGAATTTTTTCGTTTCAGAACATCAACCGCAATTCAACTCACCCCAATATCGACGTACATAATGTAAAGCGGATACGGAAGCACCAAGCACATCGACGTCAGCCATGTTCCTGCACAGCAGACAAATGCTGGAAGTCTGGGTTGTCCTGGGTTTCGGATGAAACGTAATCGGTCCCAAGCCATCAAAACGAAAGTCAGAGTGGTCACATGTAGTGGTATATCCTGCGAAGAATGAAATTGATATCCTTGATTTATATAGAACTGTTTGATTGAATTTTTTGATTTGTTGCTTCAGAGTTTTGAATTTCAATTTAGAAGGTATCTGCTATGGAGGTTGGATTCTTTGAATGTTATATATGCACATTGTATTCCATAGTCCCTGACGAAATAAGGAAGGAGACATTTAATATAATTCAAAGACTGAAATGTATTAAATTGTTTGGAGCTACACTTCGTTATCGAAAAAGGTCGATAGATTCTCTTTTTTTACTAATTGCTAGCAAATGATATTTTGGTGATATTTAATGAATTATTACGAGATTTGGATTTCATGTTGTGTCATTTTTTCAACTTATCATTATCATTACCATGACATCGGCATTATAAAAAAACTCTCCAACAGTTAATATTTTTATTTTTCACTATAAAATATAGGGAAAACATTAAGTGGAAAGCGTGCATATCTTCTGAAAATAACAAAAATTACAATAAATTTGCACTAAAGCATATACTACCGATAACATTTCTAGTGAAACGATTTATTGTTCCTCAAGAAGCGTTCATTATTTGGTTTACCATAACTTTTCACCGGTTTCGTTTCAGCAAAAAATATAGCGAATATGCGAATGCTGAGTCAGTATTTTGCTGTAATGTTCCAAATCTTTCTGTCCGTGCCAGAATAGATGGTACGTAGATGGTTGAATAGATGGTAATCATTTCTGTCGAAGTTTTCCTTACTATTACGGGAGTGAATATTAAAAGAACGTTAACCCACATAGTTAACGTTAACAAAATGTAGAATTTTCAATCTTCGTTGTCTGTTACTAAGAACGATTTTGACTGAAGATATATATATATATATATATATATATATATATATATATATATATATATATATATATATATATATAGAAGAACAGTAATTGAATAGATATGAATTGAAGTTGCATCTCGCATCTCAGAGTGTAGACCTCGGTAGCTTAGCGGTCAAAAGCAGTGGGGCGTAAACCCAAAGCAACTGGGTTCGAATCCCAGTCGAGTTCAAAGCTTTTGAAATGTAATTTCGATTCTCAATTTCCACTGTTAAATATTAATACAATTATATATATATATATATATATATATATATATATATATATATATATATATATAATATATATATATATATATATATATAATTATATATATATATATATATATATATATATATATATATATATATATATATATATATATATATATATATATAATAATAATAATAATAATGTTTTTTCATAACGAGATCAATACAACAATTTTCAAAATATAAATAGCAATACATATAAAATTGTCAACGAGTATGCTCGTGACCTGTGCTATAGATGTCGCCAGAACAAACAAAAATAATTAGAGGAAATTCGATTTGAAATAGAATTTCCTGTTGAAATTACCAATGTTGAACCTACAACTTCAAATCACAAGAGCCTCAGCACAATACAGAATATAAGTGCAGTATTATCAGATACACATTACTTTTAAATCTATGATAATGTCACAAAACTAGGCAGAATCAGGCAAATCGGGCTATAAAGTCAAAAAGATCGGGTAAAAAAGTCATAAATCGGGTAAGTCAGCAAAACGGGATATTGTCACTTCCGGGAACTAAGGTCAATATTGGTTCTTGAATTTTCGAAAGAATGTTCTTCCCATATCAATTATCCATGCTCTGTATTTATATTTAAAAGTTTTAAAACTCCGCACAGATTTTAGTTCTTCAGGCATGCTGTTAAATAATCTTGGGCCCAGGTATTCCCAATTTTTTTGTCCGATGGTTTCTTCCGCTCTACTTGTTTGTAGTCTATTGAAGTTATTTCTAGTGATATATGGGTGATTTACGATGTTGAAATTGTTAACGTTATTGAACATATCCAACCCAAGCCTGTATATATATATATATATATATAACTGATGTATGTCCATGATACGTGCCTCTCTAAACAGTTCTTCGCTATGGTAAGTCTTCTTTTTATTATAAATTAATTTCAGGAACCATTTTTATATGATGTCTATTCGTTTCAGGTAGCAGTCTCGAGTACCTCCCCATCCCAAGATTCCATACGATAGATGCGTGTGTACTAATGCATAGTATATCATCCTGAGGTGATCAATATCCAAGCACCCGCGAAAATATCTGAATCTGTTCAACAAAGGTCTAACTTTATTTACAATATTTTGTGTCTGCAGATTCCATCTCAGGTGGCGATCAAGTATCACACCAAGATATTTAATAGAAGAAACTTCCAAGATAGCATTACCAGGCTCAATTTCTAGAGGCCCCATCCTAGGTAAGTTAGAAACGTACGAAGTTAAAGGTAAGTACTTTGTTTTATGTGTATTCAAGGTCAATTTGTTTGAACTAAACCACTTCTGCATCTCCTTCAGGTCCTGCTGTGCCGTTGATTTTATCTCTTCCCATGACGATCCTCCAAAAACGATGGGTGTATCATCAGCGTAACTGATAACTTTACCATGAAGATTTACTCTAAATAATGAATCAATATACAATGTAAATAAAAGAGGCCCCAGGACAGTGCCCTGAGGCACCATATGAGATTACTAGTGTTTCACTAACATTTCCTTCAATATCCACTATCTGTTGTCTGTCTGACAGGTAACTTTTCAGAAGTTCATAACATTTACCTCGGAATCCATATCGATAGATCTTTTGTAATAGAATCGAGTGGCAAACCGTATTAAAGGCCTTAGACAAATCGATAAAGACGCACATAGATGGCAATTTCCTATCAATAAATCTATAAAATCGCGATGTCAACTCTTTGATGGCGTCCTCTGTTGATCTACCAGGACGAAACCCAAATTGCCGTGATGAGAGTACATTGAATTTATTTATATATGCATTTATTCGGGAAGTTATTACTTTTTCAACTATCTTTGCAACATTAGATATGATGGTTATCGGTCTGTAATTTGCTAATTTATCTTTTTCTCCATTCTTGAATACAGGTTTAACTATGCCTGTCTTCAGAGTACTTGGAAACGTTCCAGATTCAAAATAAAGATTCACAAGAAACGCAATTGGTTGACAAATTTCAGTCCTTATCTCCTTCAAAGTTTCCGATCGTAGTCCATCATGACCACATGCCTTTCCAGTCTTCAAACTTGTGATCACCTTTGCAATCTCAGTTTCATCCGTAGGGTAAAGAAAAATATTTTCATTTATGAGTAGGTAAAGAATGGGGGTGCACCGTGCCGAGTGACCTTGACCTTGAAAAGGTAGGCGTGGTGGGGGTAATGGGCGGAGTTGACCTTGAGTCAGTGGTGGGGTTTGACCTTCGGCCTTGAATCAGTGGGGGGGTTAATGGTGAGGATTGACCTTGAATTCGATTGGTCAGGTACGGCCTTGAGAATTTCCGGCACTACCGATCTTATATATTTCCGCGAATTAATGCTGAAGTAACTCATTCAAACAAAGTGTGGTTATATTTCAATCTGTTATGTATTTTAGAGTGCAAAGTTCAGGTGGAATAAGTTTTTCTGAAATCATATATAATAATCAATTAGGCCATTACTGTGATCATTCTGGCGAGTTGATAAGATTCGTGACACACAAAGTTTTGTGTACATGGTGTTTTGAATCCAAGAAACAGGAATCTACCATTGTCGAGCACACAATTGTGAGTACGCATAAAATTGACACGATCGTTCACAAATCCAACCTACATCACTATATCAAGCTTTTTGGACAAAATTGTGGACTCTGTGAAAAATCGCTGTTGTCAGTGAGTGAAATCGAACCTAGGGACTGTTTCGAATATCGTTGCAATACTTTATAGATGGATAATATTGAAATTATCTATAGAATAAAAAATTTGAAGGAAATGATGGAATGTCAACTTAATAAATTGGATGGTAAGATTAAAAAGTACAATCGGAGTATGGATTTGGAAATAACTGATAGAAGAATAACAAACGAAGCTAAAATCATTTGTGATGCATTTCTGAGTGAAAAAACAACATTGTGTGTTTGTTGTGAAGATTTAGTACGTTTAAGTGAAGAATTTAGGAAATGGTTAATCAATAATATAACTCTACCTGAGAAAATAATGTTTAGATTATTTCCAAAATCTAAACTTGTTGTTTTAGAACACGCATATATGGGTAAAAATATCACCGATTTCAGTGCTGAAGAATTGAAATATTTTCCTGTGGACTACTTAGTGAAGAAATTGAGATGGTATGAGATTCTCGAAATTTATCATAAGCTTTCTAAACCAATGATGGAAACATTCAAGCTGCAGACACTCTTACCATGCTTCATTCATTATAATCGACCGGATGAAAACACGCATATTGATGGTCCGCCTGTAAGTCAAGCAAAATGTGTTCGATGCAATCTAGTGCTTACACACCAGCAACTAAATACTTCAGGCAATTCTCAATCCAATACATCATAATTTTTCAATGTAATATTTTTGTCAATGTTCCCAACTTATTCATTTGTTGAATCCTTTATGCATTCTCAAGGTTAGATTGTCCCTTTCTCTCTATAATTTCTCAAGGCCAGTATGTGAAACACCCACCTTTTAACTTCTCAAGGTCAGATCGTCCCCACCCATTCTATAATTTCTCAAGGTCAGCTTATTAAACCCCCCACCATTAATATTCAAGGACATTATATAGTATATAATGAGAGGACAGCATTCATTCCTTCAGTTCAGAAGTTGGTTTGAATAATATCGATAAATATGAGTTCGGAAGCAATACCCAATGTATTCGAACCATACATGTTGTGTTCAAAAGTATTTTTCATCAATAAATCGAAAACAAAGTATGTGTCTGTGGGTCTGTCGCACCAATTCAAAGCAGTTGTGAGAATCAGTGGTTCATCATTGAAGGGGCATCACATTGATTTCACTACCGAAGATTTTCGTGAACTATTGAAGAGTGAAGAATTTATTTTGAGGAATTTATCTAAAGTTTCGTCGCAAGAATTCAAGAAAATTAATAACGTTACCCTTTTCTTCATAACTATCAATAACAAATGTATTCTCGGTGTGAGAAATGAAAGAAGTCAAATTTACATAGGAAGAGAAACTCTATGTGAATTACTATCGTTACAGGAGCTGATTAATGATTATATCGAGTTCCTGGAATATCATGGATTTGAAGATTTCTACGCAATGATAACGCGTACAGTGACGAAGATGAATGGGGATGTGTTAGTGAACATAAAAAATTTATTAGAACAATCGTATAAACATTTATTCAACACAGCCATATTTAAAGAGTTAATCAAGGCCGATCCATATACTGTAGTGAATGATGTGATGGAGATAGCTTTTTAATATGAATAAGAAAGTACATTTCAGTGATAGTTGTGAAATTCATAACATGTATGCTTGGAATTTCGCTTATCGAGAATCACGTAAATACTATTGGGAAATGTTTGTAATAGATAGAATTAGATTCAACAATAGAGTAACTAATTTAGAGAAAATTTTGAGTCCTATTTTAGATGTTAAACATAGACAAAAGGTTTATATCGATAGATTTTGTTGAATGTAACAACACTTTGTATTAATGCGTTCAAATAAAAAATTTCAAAAAAATAAAAAACAATTTTATTTCTCAATATCTTTACATAATAATATATATTCAGAATTGAATCATTTCAAATCATTTTTGTGGATCCAAGAATTATGCTCCTTTCCCATTCCTAAATATTTCACGAATAGTTTATTTCCTTTTCTTCTTAGCACTTTCTCAATCAGATAAATTTGAGGATGCTTTACTTTCTGTAATTCGAATTCGTAAAACCCACCCATGATATCCTCATTGGAAGAATCGCGTAAAAGGTAAGTTCTTGGGTATGTGGATTTTATCTTTCTAATTGTGAAAATTTCATTAGACCAATTGGGTGTGTAGCCTTTCACAAATGCTTGTCTAGTTTTACTAACTCGTACGAAATCTCCAATTTTATACTTTTGTTTTCTTGGATCTATAATCTTAATGTGTGAATAAGCGGAGTTGAGAATTTTTTTTCA